CCAGGTCAGTCTGGTCTACCGAGTGAGACCCTGTCTCAAAATAAACCCAAACCCACAGAACCAAAACCCAACCAAACAAAAGACGTGAAGTCAAGCAGGAAAAGCAGTGGCTTCTTTTATCTGATAAGTCTTTCTCTTCATTTGAATGTTCTCCCTTCTTAAAAAATTATTTATATTTATTTTTACTTTGTGGTAGGTGTTTTTCCTGCATGCATGTCTGTGAACTACATGTTTGCCTAGTGCTCCAAGAAGTCAGAGAATCTCTTGGAACTGGAAGTACAGACAATTGTTAGCCACCATGTGGGTGCTGGGAATCAAGCCTGGTCCTCTGCAAGAGCAGCCAGTGCTCTTAACCACTGAGCCATCTCTCCAGTGCTACCCCCAGAGACCTCTCTATCAGCAGCCCTCCATCAGGTGTTGTATACCCACTCTTTGGACCATGCAGAGATGTGTTTCTTAGATGATTCCACATCCAATCAAGATTAACCACCAATATGTGCCCATTTGCACAATAGTGACTTAATTGTTAAGCCCCAAACACTTACAGATTGAATTTGAAGCCTGCTGTCAATATCTCATAGCTGCAAGCTCATAGGCTCTGATAAAGGATTGCTACAACTGTAGTTTTGCTGAATGGATGTGTTGTCAAACCACCTTCTAAATTTTGTGGGGGCTGTCCCCACTTTGATGAGAGAAGTTCCTTTTACAGTGGGCAGCAGTCAATGCAGAGACTTAGACTTGGTCAAAGGGCCAACAGTAACTGATTGTTAAATGCTCAGCTCCAAATGTATCATTTGATATAGGGTTGTATACATGTAAGGTTGATATATCTGTATAGACCATTTGAAGGCTTGGAGAAGAGGAGGTGGAAAGCGAGGGCTGAGGAAGAGATAGATAGGATGCTGTGGAATGCCGTTTTTCCAGGCATGACATGGCCATGGCACCTGTGAACTCACAGCAGCTGTGATTACCTGACAAGACCAGGCCAGTCAGTATTGAGTCAGAAATGGGGGAGGGGATCATGAGGCCCCATCTTTTTCTGACATTGACAGTTAATGTTTCCTGGAGAAGGCGGAGACATTTTCTCCAGTGGTGTAGCCACTTGTAAGTTTTACATGCTTCTGGAAATAACTCCTCACTGGTTTGGTGTTCATGTAAGAAATCCTAGTCAAACTCATTAGGGCATACACACATGGACACACACACACACATACACACACACACACACACACACACAAACAGAGAGAGAGAGAGAGCCATGGAATCAGAAGACTGGTGGGGAAGAGTAGGGGAATCAATAGGAGTAGAGGGTGATAAGAGAGGGTAGTAGGGTAAATATGCACCTATGACAAAGTCGTAATTAATGCCTGTTATCATGTATAACTAAAACATGTCTTAGAAAGATTAACTACATGCCCTGGGAGTCTTCCACTAGGCTAAAGGCTCTGGAGGGAGGTTCCTGCTCCCTCAGGCTGAGCATGTCTCTTCTCTCAACAAGGGGTCCAGAACAAGCCTGCTGGTCCTAGCATGACAAGGGCTGGGCTGTCTCTGAGCAGGGGCATTCCCTCCTCAGTGTGGAACTCTGTCTCCCTTTTCCAATTTGAGATGTCTGGGGCTGGGTTATGGCTTGGAATCCTGAGGCAATCCTTTAGACTGAGGTTGCCCAGGGCAGAGATGTGCCCTCTGAGTCTAAGAGATAAGCTCAGTCTCCTCCTATTTGGAATTCCTTGAGGAGTTTACCTTGGGTTTGAAGATAGGCAGATCACAGACAGTGGAACTCCAGAATGGGGCTCCAGAGTTCATCACAGTTTGGCCCTGCTTTCACCTCCTAAACATTATTATTACTTTCGTTTCAAGAAGATCTATCTTATTTTTAAGTTGTGTGTGTGTGTGTGTGTGTGCACGTGTGTGTTGGTGTTAAGTGCATGTATGTGTGTGTGTGTGTGTGTGTGTGTGCATGCTAACACAGGTCGAAGTCTCTGGTCCCATGGAGATGGAGTTAAAGGCAGTTGTGAGCCTCCTGATGTGCATGCTGGGAAAGGAAACTCCAGGGGAGCAGTACCTGCTCTAAACCAATGAGCCATCTCTCCAGAACTTTGTATGGAGTTGACCAAAACATTACTTTTTTGTTATTTGTTTTGTTTGTTTTGTTTTTTGAGACAGAGTTTCTCTATTGCTTTGGAGCCTGTCCTGGAACTTGCTCTGTAGACCAGGCTGGCCTCAAACTCACAAGAGATCTGCCTGCGTCTGCCTCCCGAGTGCTGGGACTAAAGGCATGCACCACCACTGCCCTGCCAAAACATTATTTTTTAAATATATAACTTATATTTTAAATTTAAAAATTTATTAATTTTTTCCAAAACCACAGATAACTATGATATGGCTCTCCGGACTATTGGGCGATGACCATTGGACTAACCTCTTTGGAAATAAGTCTGGCTCATTTTACCTTGGAGAATCCTAGCTTGTAGGAATATTTGATTGGAACCTTATGAGTCATAAAGAAAGCACAAATGCACTGGAAGAGCAAGGGTACAGGTGGATCCTGACACAAAGGCAGGCAGATCTCTGAGTTTGAAGTCAGCAAACAACAACAACATAAAGCAACCAGCTCCTCATTTTTGCCTCCTGTGACTCTTGTTCTTATTCCGTGAAGTTACTCACTTAGGACTGAACAGTGAGTGTTCCTTTCTTTGAGCTTACCGAGTGTATGAGATGCCTTTCTAATGCCTTACAGGAAGCAATCTAGGGAGGAAGCCTTTACAGGGATTACAGTTTGAAGAGATGCACTCCATCATGGCAGGAAGGCATGGAGGAGCAGGAGTGGTGTGGACACATCATATGATAAACCTGTATTTAACTTTTTGAGGGACCACTGAATCAGTTTTCATAGTGGCTGAACCACTGTATATTTCCACCAGCAATGTATGAAAGTTATACTTTTTCTACAGCTCTCCGATTCTTATAATACTTATAATGGTTGGCTTTTCTCAACTTGATACAATGTAGAGTCACTTGGAAATAAGAAATTGCCTCTAGCCAGGTGTTGGTGGTGCACGTCTTTACTCCCAGCACTCAGGCCGATGCAGACAGATCTCTGTGAGTTAGAGGCCAGCCTGGTCTACAGAGCTAGTTCCAGGACAGACTCCGAAGCTACACAGAGAAACCCTGTCTCAAAAACCAAACCAAACCAACCAAACAAACCAAAAAGAGAGAGAAAGAAAATGCCTCCATTAGACTGGCCAGTGGGCATGTCCACAGTATGTTTTCTTGATTAATGATTGATGTAGGAGGGCCTGGCCCACTGTGGGCGGTGCCACTCCCAGCCAAGTGGTCCTGAGTAATATAAGAAAGCAAAGTGAGCAAGCCATGGTGAGGAAGCCGGTAAGCAGTGCTCCCCCATGGCCTCTGCTTCAGCTCCTGCCTCCTGTACCTTGAGTTCCTACCCTGGCTTCTATTCATGATGGACTACAACTATACATTACAGGGTGTGCCATAGATACCTTTTAAATTTATTTACTTAGACAGGGTCTCACTATGTAACCTTGGCTGGCTTGAAACTCATAAAGATTCTCCTGCCTCAGCCTTTCAAGTGCCTGGATTAAAATCATGTGCCACCACACCTAGCTAAGTTTGATTTTGTGGGGCCAGGGTTTGGCTATGGTGCCCAAGTGTATGTTGGGGTCAAGGGACCCTCCTATAATCTCCTGAGTGACTGGGCTCACAGTGTTCACTACTCACTTCATCTTACTATGATTTTCCCTTATGTGATTTTTCCTAGTGACTTATGGTATCAGATGTCTCGTTTTGTGCTCATTAGCCAATTATATAGCTTTTAAAGACTTATTTTTATGTGGGAGTTTTGCCATTATGCAAATACATATGTCATATGCTTTCTGGTGCCTGTGGAGGTCAGAAGAGGATATCAGATCCCCTGGATTAGTAGAGTTGTAGACAGTGGTGAGTGACCATTTGGTTTCTGGGAATTGAACCAGGGGCCTCTGGAAGAACAGTCAGTACAAGTAACTGCTGAGCCATCTCTCTGGCCCCTATTGTATATCTTTTGTTTTGCTTTTTTTTTTTTCAATATAGGGCTTCTCTGTGTAACAACTCTAGCTATCCTAGAACTTGCTCTGTAGACCAGGCTGCAATCGAACTCACAGAAAACCTCCTGCCTCTGCCTCTCAAGTGTGCACCAACACCGCCTGATGATTGCATATCTTTTTAAGAGAATTGTTGACTCGAGTCCCTTGTCCACTTTTGAACTGGAGTATCTTTGAATTACAGAAGGTCTTTATATGTCCTTAACATGAACTCTCATCAGATGTATGTTTTGTAATTGTCTTCCATTCTATGAGTTCCATTCCACTTCCCTCCTTTGGTGTGTATATGTCTTGTATTGTGTGTACCTGCACATGTATGTGAGAATGTACATGCCCAATCCATGCATGTGCATTCAGAGACCAGAGAAATATGCCTGGGGTCTTCCTCTGTCACTTTGAGATAGGGTTACTTAATGAACCTGGGAGTTGGCTGGTTGGCTAGGCTAGCCAGTAAGCTCCCAGGATCTACCAGACTCTTCCCCATGGATTTGGGGTTACAAGCAGGTATGGCCCTGTCCTCTTGTTTTACATCAGTGCTTGAGATTCAAAATTAGGTCCTCATGCTCTCACAGCAATCACTTTTACCCACAGAACCTTCTCTCAGAGGTCCCTATTTTCATTCCAGCCAACCCACATACTTCTGGAGTTGTTTATTTTCCCTCACCATGAAAAGTCCCACCTACTTTTTGAGGATAGGATATTGGGGCTACATATCCACCACAGGCTGCATCCCTTCCTCTCTGTCCCTTCCAAGTATTCAAAGACTCAAGTCCTATAGAGAGGAAGGAGAAGCAGAGAAGAAGCCCACTCTATTAGCTCTGAGGAAACAGAACGAGGCCTACTTGGAGTGCCAGGACTCAAGGAAGCAAGTCCTATGAACGAACATGACAATATGAGTGAACTTTGAAAGAACTGTGGTTAAGTGAACAGAGCCAGTTACAGACCATAGATCATTGGGTTTATATGAAGTGGCTAGTGTATACAAATTTATTGAGTCTAAAACTAGATTAGCATCTGGTGGGGAAAAGGAGACAGGTTAGGATGAATAGTCATAAATCTTAATGGGTGGGTATAGGTTTGGGGAGATACAATAGACAATATTCTAAAATTAATTGGAGGTAAATTATACGGTGAAAGAATTGTACTTCAAAAAAACTGCTATTTAAAAAGAAAGGTGAAAAAAAAAAATCACCAGAGCCAGACCTTGGTGGCACACGCCTTTAGTCCCAGCACTTGGGAGGCAGAGACAGGCAGATCTTTGTGAGTTTGAGGCCAGCATGACCTACAAGAGCTAGTTCCAGGACAGCTTCTGAAGCCACAGAGAAACCCCATCTTGAACCCCACCCTCCACCAAAATAAAAATAAAAATAAAAATAAAGGGAAAGAAACAAAGGTGATGGCCCATGAATGTTTCCTCCCCTGCTTCAGCCATCTTCATTTGGAAAAGCGTGGCCACGCCTGGATGTGTTTACAGACTGAAGGCTTCATGGTCAGTCCATAGATGGGTGTCAGGTCCACTTTCGTGCCTGGTGGCATGCTGAACTCCAGCTGCTGCAACAGGATAGCTAAGAAGAGGAAGACTTCCCACTTGGCTGGGATCTCCCCAATGCACCTGCGCTTTCCCAAGCCAAAGAGCATCACCTTCTCACTCAGCGTCTTGTTGATGGCTGTGTCGTTATCAGTAAGAAACCGCTCTGGACGGAACTCAAAAGGGTCTTCCCACTGCTTCCTGCCAGAGGAACAGATAGGACTTGAGCTGGGTAGCTCTGGGAGGAAAGGGCAGCTGTGTTCTCCCAGCTTCTGTGACAGTAACAAAAGATCGACAGTGGCAAGAGCCTGTGGGGAAAGTACCTAACATGGTGTTTATCTCCTTTTTTTTATGATTCTTTTGCGTTTGTTTGCTTTGAACCTGGGTCTCATGGGTCTAAAGTTGGCCTTGAATCCATATGTAAGCCCAAGTCACCTTGTGTGAAATTCTACCCTTCTGCCCCTATCTCCCCAGTGCTGGATTACAGGCATATGCTCCATCTAGTGCTTGATGGAACCTAGCACGGTGGGCTAGCACTTTCCCAACAGAGCTACACTTCTGGCCAAGTTAGTGCTTCTTTAAAATTCTTGCCTGACAGTGGTGGCCTCCAGCACTTGGGAGGCAGAGACAGGCAGATCTTTGTGAGTTTGAGGCCAGCCTGGTCTATAGAGTGAGTTCCAGGACAGTCTCTAAAGATACAAAGAGAAACCCTATCTTGGAAAACCAAATATATATCTCTAAAAGGGTCAACCTTAAAGATAGTGGACTTTGATTGTGTTTTAATTTTTTAAATTATTTTTTTTGTTAATTTACTTTGTGTGCATGTGGGTATCAGAGGACAACATTCAGGAGTCAAGTTCTCTCCTTCTACCATGTGGGGCCTGGGGATTGAGCACGGGGTGTTAGGTGTGGCAGCACATGCCTTTACCTGCTGCTGAACCATTCCCATGGTCCAAGTCAGTGTTTTGTTTTGTTGTGTTGGTTTTTCAAGACAGGGTTTATCTGTGTAGCCCTGGTTGTCCCAGAACTCACTCTGCAGACCAGGCTGACCTCAAACTCAGAGACCCACCTGCCTCTGCCTCCAAAGTGCTGGGATTGAGGACATGTGCCACCACTCAATGGGTGATAGTAGTTTTAATATTCATTTGCTTTAGTTCCTTTTTTTTTTTTTTTTTTAAAAATGTGGTTCTGGGAATTGAACCTAAAGCCTTCCACACAGCATATCCTACCAGTGAGATATAGCTCCTGTTCTCATTTGTAATTCAAGAACATAATGCTTTATCAAAAGGAAATTGAAAAAAGGAACACATATTTTTCTCCCTCCTATTCCCAACAGGCCAGTAGCAAGGGAGATAACTGTGTTCCTCAGCTTATGCTTCTTACTCCGGATTGAACATTGACAATACACACATGGGTGGTGTTCTCATGTTCAATATGTCCTGGTTTGGGTGGATGGCCTATCTACAAAGAAGAGTGGAGCTTTGCAAGGACACCATTAGACCATTCCCATAAGTCATTATTTATCCAACTGCAACCTTAGGGTATGGGGAAGCGTCCCAGCCAAACTCCCTTCCTTCCTTCCTTCCTTCCTTCCTTCCTTCCTTCCTTCCTTCCTTCCTCCCTCCCTCCCTTCCTTCCTTCCTTCCTTCCTTCCTTCCTTCCATAAATGTGTACCTTGGCCAGCCTAAAACTTACCAAGAAGTCCAGACTGGTCTTGAACTGACTGTAGCCCTCCTGCCTCAGCCTCCTGAGTAGGCTGGATTGCAGGCATTTGCCATCCACACCAGATACCTAGTAAGTTCTTCTGTTCACTGAATTTGAGGAACAGGGTCTAAAGTGTGTCACTTGGAATAGGCTATCTAGCAATGAGGTGTTGTTCCTCATATGAGCAGTTTGTGAAGGGACAGACAACCTACTCCCCCCCCCCCCGATTGCTGAGCGATCCCCTTTCCCGTCAGGGCTGTGTACTCACTCATCATGGTTGACTTGCCACTGGTTTATGAAGATACAGCGCCCCTTAGGGATGTGGAAGCCGTTCAATGAGGTGTCCCTCGTTGTGCTGAGGAGAGAAGAGAGCTCTGTCCAGCTCAGGGCTTGGAGAAGCTGTTGTGTGGCTTGCTCCTCACCCCACTCCATCCCAGTGAGTGACTACCACAGTCTCTAAGCACCATACCAGGAGGGCACATGAAGGGCCAGGAACATGGGGAGGGAGGGGTTATCCTTCATTTTTCTGGGATCCTGTCCTTCAACCTTAACACTTAATTTCTAGATTCTCCTTGTGCTCAGAAGGGCATGGGGCAGTCTCTGAAGCCAAGAATTCAGTGGTTGGGGCTTTCCCTGTGGAGTCTGCAGCTTTTGTACTAGGAATAACTAGGCTAAGGTGTGAGTAGAGGGAAATGCTCACTCTTACAATCCTACAAAGCATCTGAGGATGACGCTCTACTTGGTGAACTAGCCAAAAGAGTCTTCCAGATGGAGGGGGACACATGTGTCAGGATTGACTTTGGGCAAGGGTAGAAGATGGGAGCTGGGTAGATGTCTCTCCAGGCAGAAGGTCCAGCTTAAGCTAAATTGGCAGGTGACTGGATTACTCTTGTGAGGGTCAGTGAGGAAGGATGGGCTGGAATGGAAGATATCCACAGGGACCAAACCCAAGTGGAAATGAGTGGTTGCTGAGACCACAGCTACTGGACCTGAGACAAAGGGTCAGAAGCTGAGATTACTATGTTCAGGAATGAGATACAGCCTAAGGTGGACTTGGAGCTGAGGACCTGGGTGGAGGGGCAGTATGAAAACTTAGGGGACACAGAATAGGGTCCTTACCTGTGGGGGATCGTGAAGGGGACAAAGGATGTGTATCGGTAGATCTCTAGGGTGAAGGCCTCCAGGTACGGCAGCTGAAGTCTGTCAGAAAGCCGCGGTTGCCGATCCCTGCCAATCACTGTGTCTACAAAGCACAGGCAGAGCTTGTGGAATGTTCTGTCTACTCCGTGCATATGTGTCCCTGTTATTCTAGGGTCACTCTGTGTTGGCCTATGTTTTCTCATGGTTCTGAGACCCCACAATCCTCCCTCAACACACACCTTATCTGGACAAGTGGGGGATGCCATGTTCCTAGGACTTAACATAGGCACATAAACACATATTTGTAGATCAACAAGTGACTTGAAGGCTTCTCTGACTACAGGATTGGGAGCAACACATACCCAGCTCCTTGTGGATCTTCCTCTGCACACTGGGCCGTGTCACAAGGAGCAAAATGCTCCAGGTGATGGCTGTTGTGACTGTGTCAAATCCTGGGCAGCAGGGAGTATGATGAAGGAGAAAAAGACATTAGGGAGAAGGAAAACATTCTTAACAAGCAGCACCATATATGGAACAAGTACTATCTCTCTCTGACTCCCACCCCTCTGTACCTAGAGGGAAGGGTTAAGTCCTCAACAGCAACTTGAAAGCCAACCATGATAGCTTATACCTAGAATCCCAACACCGAGGAGCCCGAGGCAGGAGAATTGCCATAAGTTTGAGACCAGCCTGGGATACAGAGGTAATACCGTGTCTTACAAAAAAAAAAAAAAAAAAATGTGAGAACCAACCAAATCCAAAAGCAAAACCAACCAGACAAACAAGAACCTAATAGACACTGGTTTCATAGTCAGTGGCTGGAATTAGAAGCCTGGATCCTTTTACTTTCCAGGTGGGGAGACCCAGGCCCCCAAAGGAGAGGAACTTTGTTGAGTTTCTCCCAGAAGTTAGTGGTCACACCTTGATCCTAGGGCAGGTGTCTATCATGTGTCACCTGACATGTGGTTGACGAGTGAGTTAGTAGATAGGGTGGGAATGGGTAAATAGCAGCTAGTGGATAAAGGAGCAGGGGTGTGACTCCTACCAGCTCCAAAGAGGTCATTGACAATGTTGACAATCTTCTCCTGAGGGATGAGGCCACCTTTGTCTTTGGAGTTCTCACTGTGCTTGAATAGAGCACCTGTGATGTCCTGGATACTGTTCTATGAGGACACAAGTTTAGGGGAACTTTGACATTTCAAGGGCCAAATCTGAGATCATGCCCCATCCCATTTGATATATCCTGGGAGCCTGGGAACTGCCTTGGCCTCCAGGCACTGGGCTGGAGCTCAGATTTTTGAATTGGCATCAGTTCTGAACAGAGCATAATCATTTCATGCTTTCTTTCCCATAACCCCAGGAGTCAGGTTTCAGAGGAGGAAGAAGTAGGTGTGAACACAGGGAAGACAGGCTGAACATGAAGCTGGAGCTTAGCCCCTGTTGAGGTTCAAGTTCCTGCACAACAATGACCTTTGAATTAATGACACCCCACATTGCAAAGCTCTGCCAAGCCTCCATTCACATGCCTTTGTTTTCTGGGGGTTGGAAAAGTCCCCAGAGGGAACTGTAAGGAACAGGGGTGGCTAAAGGGCACATGGCAGTCTGAGTACCTTGGAGTAGGATTTGAGGGAGTGTTTTCTGGGCCTGTGGTGGTAATGGGGTTTACAACCTGCCTCCCAGTCTCACCTTGTTGAAATCTTGATAGTGCTCCTGGACTGTTTTCTGGAGAAACAGCACAAAGTTATCATTGAAGTTCTTAAACCTCTTGAGGCCTGGGTTGGGCAGGTAGCGTAGGATGGGGAAGAAGTCCACAGCATTACCGGAGGAGACATTCTCCACAAAGTCATTACTGCCCTTGACAATCCTCAGCATCTCCTCACTCTTCCGGGGGAAGTGCTTCCCAAAGCACATGGCTCCAATGACATTAGCCACAGATTCCACTACCTGGTTGACAGGTTCGAAGTGCCCAACTTCTGCCATCAGCTTCTGCAACTTGCTGACTAGATGGTTAGCCTCCTTGATCACATGATCCTCTAAGTAGCAAGAGGACAATGATGTTGGGTCTGAGGCTATGGAGAAACTTTTCAGAGCGTCCTGGGCCAGGCGCCGCCGGGCAGCCCACACTGGTCCGCAGTCTGGGTTGAAGGTCATGCTCTTGCCATTAGTGATAAGTGTGAAACTGTAGAGGTCTGGCCGGCCCTTGAAGTCATCTCCCTGCCGCACCAGGGCCTGCCGGATGGTGTCCAGGCCACTCAGCACCACCACAGGTGTGGAGCCAATGCGGATCTGCAGGACGTCCCCATACTGCTTGCTCAGCTCTGTCAGTGACAGGTGTGGGTTCTTCCCCAGGGTCAGGACATGCCCAATGAAGGGCCAGCCCCAGGGCCCTGGTGGACTCTTCAAGCCTTTGGGGACCTGGGTTCTTAAAGCCCTAGCCACCCAAAATACTATAGAGAAGATGGTGGTGGCCAGTAGTAGCTCTGTGGCCAAGGAGGCGTACTGGGGCAGTGCCATCTGTACCAGCCAGCTGCAGGAGAAAAGGAAGGATGGGGTGGTTACAGGTGGATTGTGAGCCTCCATAGATTATTTTGCTCACTCATTCAGTAGGCATACATTCTATGCTTAGCTTTTAGCCACGCACCAGGAAAATGAAGATATATGTCCTGCTCCCTCAGGAATTTTCCCTTACCCCATCACAAAATTCAAGGGCATCAAAAGAACTTAATGTCTGAACTCCTCCCCCCTTTCAGGCTCTCCTGTCTGCCTCTTCTCTCATTTCCAATCCTGAGAATGGAATAGATGCAAATGACCACTCCAAAACAATGAAGCTAAAGACAGCTTCTCAACAGCCCCAATCACAGAGTGTTTGCTGTGCTTTCTGCCTAAGGTCCCAAGTAGTGTGGGCTCCCTGTTGGTACCTTCTACACACCCAGGAAATAGAGGAGGCCCCCTTGCCCAAGCAACAGAAGGTCAGTGTCCCTGAGATGATACCAATGTCCTATGATACTCCCTTCCCTCAATGACACTCTTTCAATACCAAGCAGGGGTCACCCAATGTTCCCATCATTTCACTCCAGGCAACTGTCTTTAGAGATAACCTAGTTGGAACTGCTTAATTAAAGACAAGGAGCTAGTGCCAGGTGGTGGTGGTGCATGACTTTAATCATCCCAGCACTCAGGAGGCAAGAAAAAGGTGGATCTCTGTGAGTTTGAGGCCAACCTGGTCTACTGATCGAGTTCCTGGGCAGGCGACAAAGCTAGAGAGAAACCCTGTCTTGAAACCCCACCAAAAGTGTGGGGGGAGGTTCGGCGAGATGGCTCAGCAGTTCACAGAACTTGGTGCTAAGCACGACAACCCCGAGTTTAATCCCTGGAATCCACATGGTGGAAAAAGAATAATTGACTCCTGAAAGTTTTTCTCTGAGCTATGGCATTTGGACAGGCAGACACACACACACACACACACACACACACACACACACACACACACACACACACACACGTAAAAAGACAAACTAAGGTTCAGGGCTGAGAAGAAGGAGCAAAACCTTAGACCTTCAGTTCCCACAGGGTCCTCATTTCTCCATCTCTAACATCATTTAGGATACAGAAGCAGATGCTGTGATCGGAAAAAATACACAGACATACCTGAAGGTCAGGGGCTGCAGATCTCAGAGTTGTGAGAGTCAGTCCAAGACTTCTGGGTTCATATGAGGGGCCTTTTATAACACTGCCCTCTCCAGACTGGCTCAACGATCAGGGTCACTTGATATCAAAGCTGCATACTGCTCAAACTCAGAAGGATCAATTCTTGGCTCTGAACTGTGATTCCTCAGCTCCACCTCCTACTGGGGGTTCAAACAGGAATAGTTCTTTGGGTCAGAAGAGGTTATGGGTCCTGGAGATAATATCCATGGCATTTTAGGGTCCAGGATGGAGAATACAACTCTTTGAAAGACAGGGCAGAGTTCTGGGTGTGAAAATTAAGCCAGTGGATAAATATAGCCTCTTTTCAACTGTGCCCACAAGAAAGGGATATGTCTAGACCCCAGTCCAGGCCAACCAGGGGCAGTTCATGTTCCCTGTAAAGGCAGATAGTGACTTTTGTTCATGTGACAAACTACCAGACAAAAATAAGTTTATTTTGGCTCACAATTTTGACATGTAGTCCATGGTGGCAGAAGAGTCACAGTAGCAGGAACGTGAGGCAGAGAGTCACATTGCATCTACAGTTAGAATGCAGAGAGATGAATGGTGATGCTAAACTCTCTGTTTATATATACATATGCATATAATATATATTATATACACATATGCATATATTCCACAGTCAGGATGGGTCTCCTGTACTCAGTTAATCTTTCTGGAAAGGTATGTCCTAAGGAGAATCTTCTAGATGACTCTAAATCCCACCTGGATGACACTGGAGATTAACTATCACAGGCATGTTCTAGTTACCTCAACATGCCCAACTCCTTGTGTGTGTGTGTGTGTATGTGTGTGTGTGTGTAATTAAATCTATATCTACAAACATACTTAATGAGGACTCTGCCACTGAACTATGTCTTGACTCCTCCCCCCCACTTTTATTTTCTTCTTTAGAATTTTATATTCTGAAGAGAGATTCTCTCTACACCCTCCTTGTGTATGACAGTAAGGAATTAATAACCAATGAAGCAAATATATGTCATGAATTGCTTTTTGTGGCAGCCAGCTTAGACTCTTCCTAGTCAACGTCATTGTGGGGTAGGAGGAGAACAAACCAGACAAATTCCAGAATCAAGAAGCAAAAGAATGAAAAGCAAATGCAGGGCTGGTTATGGTAGCACACCTTTTTAATCTCAGCACTGGGGTGGTGTACACTGGGGTGTAAGTAGCTATATCTCTATGAATTCAAGGTCAGCCTGGTTTAGGTAGTAAGTTCTAGGACAGCCAGGGCTACACAGTAACTCTTCAAAAATTTAAATGCTATATATGAACTTGGTTGGAGTCTGTGTTTAACGAAAAGTAATTGTTAAAGTCACAGAAGAAAGATAATTGAGGACTCATAGACATGGCCTGGAGAATAAGCTACATTCTTGAATGAAGACTAATTTTCTCAGATGTGACATACAATCATGCTTACCTGGTATCTTAGTTACTGTTCTAGTTCTATGCACTAGAACCCAGGCAACTCTTATGAAATAAAGCATTTAATTGGGGACTTGATTACAGTTTTAGATTGCATGCACTAGTCCGTGATCATGTAGGCAGGAAGCAGACAGGCATGACACTGGAGCTGAGAGCTTTACATCCTTATCCATAGGCAGCAGGCAGAGAGAGAGAGCAAGGTTGGGTGTGGTGTGGATTTTGAAACCTCAAAGTCCACCCCTAGTGACACAAACTCCTCCAACAAGGCCACGCCATCTAATTCTTCCCTAGCAGTTTCACTAACAGGGACCAACTATTAAAATGTAGGAGCCTTTGGGGGCTGTTCTCACTCAAACTGTCACATGTGGGACAATATTCTTTTTCTTCGGAAGTTAGTGCTGCATGCTTTAGGGGTGAAGTTTCATGATGCCTGCAACTTTTAAACGGTTCTGTTCTTTAAAAAGTTGAGAAAAACCCCCTACATTTTGGGGTCTGTTGGGATGGCTCAGTGGGTAAAGATGTTTGCCAGCAAGCCTGGTGACCTGGTGGGAGGAGCTGTCTTCTGGCCTTCACATGTGTGCCTTGGGAATTCACATATTGGTAAACATACACATTCTCTCTCTCTCTCTCTCTCTCTCTCTCTCTCTCTCTCTCTCTCTCTGCCTCTGTCTCTCTCTCTCTCTCTCTACCTCCTCTCTCTCTCTCTCACACACACACACATATATACACACACACACTCTATCAGAGACATACATACATACAGACAGACAGACAGATACCACACACACACACACACACACCTGTATATACACACACACACTCTCTAGCAGGGACATACATACTTACATACATACATGCATACAGACACACACACACACACACACACACACACACACACACTAACCTTCAGGATCAACTTGTGCAACTTCAAAGGATGTTTGTTGTGGGATGTTTGTACATTGTGTAATTTTCTGTGATGGTGTAATAAAAAGTTGAATGGCCAATAGCTAGGCAGAGGAGTATAGGTGGGACTTCTGGGCAGAGAAAGAACTCTGGGAATAAGAAAGGCTGGGTCTACTCAAGACAGGACTTCTGACCCTTGACTTTCCAGGGATTTTTCTGACTCCAACTCCCTTCTTGCAGTAGTTGTTCAGGAATTACAAACATTTGCTACAGTTTGGCTCTATGTAGGCTTCTGGGATCTGTACTTAGGTCTTCCTGCTTGTGTGGCAAGTACTTTACCCACTGAGCCATCTCCCCAATCCACACCTGGCTCTTTGCATGATTTCAAGGAATCTGAATTCAGAGGTCAGGGACTGCATCCAAATCAATGCCGAGCACTACATGACAAGAGAGAAGGAACACTTCCACAGTCTTTCTCTGGGTGTTGAACTCCACTCTGCCTTTCTAACCCAACTCCTGCTCATTGTTTTATTCCCTGCTCAATTAAAATCTTACAGCACTACCCAACACTTGCCTTCATTCAGGACTATGTGTAGGTGGGGTTTTCTTGTGTCCTGGTAGTCGCTCCCAAATAACCACACAGAGACTTATTATTAATTATAAATGCTCAGTCAATAGCTTAGGCTTGTCTCCAGCCAGCTCTTACAACTTAAATTAACCCATTTCTATTCATCTATGTGCTGCTCCAAAGCTCCTTTATCTCATCTATGAATTTCCCATATTGCTTCTTCTGAGTCTGGCTCAGGATTCCTCAGACTTCTCCTTCCCAATATTCTTTTTGACTGATTCTCTCATCTAACTTTATCCTGCCTAGCCATCAGCCAATCCACTCTGCATTAACCAATGAGAGTAATAAATATTTACAGTGTACAAAGATTGTTACACAGCAACTATGAGTACCTTGGAGTTTGCTGTGACTTGGGGTATGTCCCCCCATACGTTTGAGGCTTGGTTCCCTGATCAACACCATTAGGAAGGGTTGAAAACTTTGAATTGTGGCCTTGTTGGAGATTTGGGGTCACCATAGGACTATATTTGAAGGGGATTGTGAGACCCTAGATTTCCTCTTTTTTTCTTTTTACCTCCTAGCTTTAGGGGAAGCAATTTTGCTCTACCACACTCTCCCCTCCACAGGTCCAAAATGACAAGACCTTCTGATTGTGAACTAAAACTCCAAAACAGTGAGCCAGTAAACTATCTCCCTCCCCAAGCAATAAGCTCAAGTATTTGTTGAAGGAATGGAAAGCTGGATAACACAGAGGTTGGCATAGCCTCAACTTTTATATATACCTATAGTCTCTAGTACTGGGACCAGCACACAGCGCACACCCAGAAAAAGGTTTGACAAATTAATTAGTATTCACATGCAGGGATATGAACCTACACAAGAGTTCAATGATGGCTCTTCTTAGGCAGTTTCCTGCTTTGGTCTTGCAGGTGAGTGAAAACACTGAGTGTTCCCTGATCATCTACTAAGCTCAGGGTCTCCTAACAGTTAACACAGGACATCTCTGCTTCAGCTGCTATGACTACCAGATAGATACATTATAATCTCTTTACTTGTTTGACCTAGTGATGGTAAGTAACTGACCCTGAACCAGATGTAGGAAAAGGCAGCAGTGGGCATGGGCAGAGGAGAGGGCAAAATCAGAAAGTAGCTGTGAGTGAAGAATTAGGGAAATTCACTTCAAAGAGGAGGGGCAGTGCAGGGCCGAGGCTATGGTGAGTGGAAAGACAGTGCTGGGTGTGTCACTCATGTGCTCAGGGCTGTGGCTATAGCTCACTTGGTAGAGAACTTGCCGGGCATGCGGGAAGCCCTAGGTTCAAGCTCCAGCACCGAATAAAACCCGGCATGGTTGTTTATGCCTGCTGTCCCAACATTTGGGAGGTAGAGGCAGGAAAGTAGAAGGTCAAGGTTATCTTTGGTTTCCTAGGGAGTCTCAGACCAGCCTGAGTCTATGAGACTATAAGAGACTTTTTTTAGGGATTAAACTCAAGCTGTCAGTCTATCTTGCCTGCCTGAAAAAGGGTTTCCTATTTTTGCTGTTTGTTTGCTACAACTGTGAAATGTGCTAGCAGAACTGACATGTTGAGTACTTTATTCTCTTGAATTTTAAGCATTAGACACCCACAGCTCTCCAATCAGTGCTCCATGCTGCCCCCTAAGGAAACTTTGTAAAAACTTCATGCTAGATTCCCCTCAAAGTTGCTTGCTAACTTTGAAACAGGTTTCACTAGCCCAGTCTGTGATCCCCACCCTCTCGCACCATCTTCCACTAGCCAGAGGGGCTATCATATGATTCCTCTAGCTTCTGCCTCTGCATCCACATGTGTTGTTCCCACTACCTAGAATACCTGACCCCTCCTCTGAAGAAAATGTATTGTTTTCTTGGTAAAGACTTGTTTTTACCTCAGTGTTATGAAGCCCTGCTGACAAGGCACCATTATTCCTCCAGTAAACCGAGACCTCCAATGTGTGGCTCTGGACATGGTTCCTTCATGGTGCCAAAATCATGCTGTCATAGTGATTTGGCTTCATTATCCCTCTCTAGACTGTGACAAGGCTCACTATATGGCCCAGGCTCATGGCAATCCCCCTGCCTCAGTCTGTGAGTGCACACTACCACTCCCAGCTTGGCACCCTCTATTGCTCATCTGTCATATGGAGG